TGTCTCTCCCGTTTTCGTTGTGAATTTTTTGAATGGTCTTCCTTTCCACCTCAGGCAATCTCATAGTTGTTGATTTTTTTAAAATGAAAAAGAACATATTTTTACTATATTATTTGGGTTTAACATGAGATAACACCAAAATATAATTTTTAGCAAATAATTTGATTTTAAATTTTTTTGTTATTATTACTTTTGATATAACTGTTGACTTCAATTTATTCATTTTTTTATAAAAATAATTACATAAGATATAATTTATTTTGACATTAAAATATTATAATCATTATAATATTTGTTTATTTTCTTTTCTCTCAATTTTCTTCTATTTCACTAGACAAAAGAAATATGTTATTTTTTTCATTTTTCTATTCTCTTCATTTACTCTCATCTCATTTAGCAAAGAACATGATCATGATTTATGAGTTAAATAACCATTTTTGTTTATGTAAAACAATTTTTAAATAAAAAAATGAAGGAGCACAACAAAATAAAATTAGCCCTCAACTAGAGGCCTGGGGACGTGGGAAGAGGGTAAAGAAAAATAAGTAATAAAGCTCTTCCAATAAGGAAAAGAAAATAACAACTCAAATCTTCATCGACCACACTCTGCATTCGGATTGAAGGTGAAATATTGAAGATAAGTTGTCAATTGTTGACGATTGTGAGTAGCTCTAGTTAGAGGCCATAATCCAAAATAAATTCCCAAATACAAATCAAAGCAGATGCAAGATATGAGTTATAGAAGTAAGGTATTACTTCCATTTCCCCCTTTTTATGAAAATTCTTGTAAAACCTCCATGTTTCATTTAATGCAAAGTTTACATTGAGAAAAGCTCTTAGCTTTACAAATTTGACCAAAAACACAAGTTAAACAGATAAAGAACAAAATTCTGAAATTCTTGGATGAACAAGGAGGGGTTAGCAATGATCCCTCTACCTGAGTTTCTTTTTCTCCAATTCAGATTGAGAAGAATAATAATGTCTCAATAAATATTATTTTATTTTCGTTTATTAGAGTGGATAGTCAAGCGTGAAGCTTCAAGAAATCCTGTCCAAAATAATGTTTTTCCAAAGAGCACCAGCCTTCTTGTTACATAAACGAATTTATTTGTTGGCAAAAAAAAAAAAAACGAGTGCATTTAATTCATTTCTCCACTGAAAATGACATGAAAAATCGAGCAACTCAAATTTTGTTTACCCATTTTTCTTCCCTCTCGTATGATAGGACCATTAGTATATATTACATGGACGACAAGTCCCACATATTCCACGCACCAGAAACTAAATTATTATACACCCATGATGAAAGAAAACAGGACAGCATGATACTATAGATAATGTTTTTTTTTGGGGGGGGGGGGGGTTGGTACAAGCAACTAGTAATTGAATAACTACATTCATCGTTCTGCATAACACATCTAAAAGGCATCAAGGATTCCACCAAAAGTTCTTGGCAAAGTAAATCTACAATGCAATAATTAAGACTTAGGATCTAAGCTCTTTCTTCTTCTTCTTCAATGTGGATGTTGTCAACTGCTACAAGGCTTTTCACATAATTGAAAACACTGAACATGGCTGATATTGTGGATAGTTAAGAACTAAGAACTCAGATTTATGAGTAGCCACAGTGAACAGACATATAAATGCTCTTGGTTTACGATTCTCCTTTTCACTTTCAGTTACATCAGCTTTGCAAATAATTTCATTCCTCCACATGGACATTGGACTTAAGCTGCATGGATAGGTTCTGCTCTTACATTTCTTATTCCCACTCCATCTCTCCCTTGATGCACTTGTACCCTCCACCATCGCCCATAAATCAACAAAAGAAGATTCAAATATTCCAATCACAGTGAGACAAATCATAGCTAGTTTGTTGTCATACACAGTAAGTTGCCTAATTGAAGTACAATCGGAAGCAGGCCATAGCGTCAAGTTGAACACTTATACTGCTATATCAAAGGAAACTAAAAAAATCAATCATCCCTCTTCCTCCACAACAAGCTTTGCCCCATAAAAATTATCTCTGATATATGAATATACAATTTTAATTAAAAAAAAAGAGTGTTTCTGTAATTGTCCATCCCATAAAAAAAAAAAAAACTGAAAAGGTGACATTCATAGAACACATGTTTGGAGAGAGTATATCCATGAATGGTTGTCAAGTTAACTACTAAGAAAAACAAAGTAAAACGACAAAAGACTCCAGAACAGTTGAGACCAAGCTGCCTCTTAATCAGTAACACCGGCTACCGAGAGAGAAGCAAGAAGATGGCAACTATCAGCAGATGAGTTCTTTCAACAAGATGTTGATGTTCTGGCGGAATTGGATTCCCCACAATGCATATCCCACAAGTGCTTTAGTGCAATGCATTAGAGAGAGACAAGGTTTGTTTGAAATTGATTTCGTTTTATTGTTTTGAAATCTGACATGTTGTAGAATATGTTCTGAGAATGAATAATAATAATTAAAAGAGATGTTTTTTGCATTTTCTCTTATTCCCCAAAACAACAATCCCACAACACCTTAAAAATATTTCTATTTTTTTATTTTCCAAAACAATATTTGTTTTTTTTTTGTTTTCTTAAGTACTTTTTGAAAATATATCATCAAACATTTTTTTTCTTAAAAATAAAAAATTATTCTCAAAATAAGTTGCGAAACAAGGTCATAATTTTGTATGCGTAAAAAATAAAAAAATAACATAAATATTTTAACTTTTACACTGCACTTAAAGCGATTGAGGAAGTTTGTCACTACATGGTATCTGAATCTTGCCTCAGCAAACAGATGGATCCATGCTTCCTATGGAGGGGTTTTTACCAGGAAACTGGATTTTGACTTTTGAGTCAGGTGAACATGGCAGGATTATACGCTATTCATACATGTGTAGTAACTGTACAAAGAACGTAACCACAAGAATGCCGACATCTTATACAAATTCAACTGAAGCTCTCAGCTTGGTTTTGAAAGACTATCCAAATTTTCATCTAGCAAAAGAACTCATTAAGCATATCAGAATAATGCCCTGAGATAACTGTTAAGTGTCCTCAATAGCACAGAGAGGATCTTTCATGTGCTGCTGATGTTTAATATTTTGAGGAAGATAAGAAAAATGAAGTAAAAACTAAAAAGATGTCGCATTGGCATATTACGACTCTTTATATAACATTACTATGTTACTATAATTAGCAAAGAACATCATGATTCAATTTGGAGCTTTCAATGTTCAAAATAATGAAACTCTTAAAATCTACTAAAAATGACATGATTAATGAATAGCTCAAGCATCCATTAAGGTTCCTCTTAGCCTTAGCATGATTAGAAGAGAATAAGATAACAGAGACTTTGTATGTGGAACCTGACCGAAAAACTCCAGGCAAATACTGTTTTAATCCAACAATGGTTGAAAGGACACAGCTTCTTGTGTGCTGGTAAACTACTTACACAAGCCTAGTATTTAATTCATTTCTCCAATAGAAATAAAATGAAAAGGATCCAAACCCAAATTTGCTTCACTTTTGTTCAACAACCTTTCAATGAAGCTTGAAGGTCTCAGCTGATTTCACAAGCTGGGAAAGAAAAAATTCACTCGGTTAGATGAGAAGAAATATGATTGAAGAAGGATTTGAGAGGGTTAGGAATTAGGCCGTCTTTCTTGTTCAACAAATCATTGCTCACAGGATCAGTTTGGAGCTGATATTATCAGTAGAGGATAACTCTTTGTCTGCCAAGGTATTGAGACCTAAATACTGTTCATTTATGGAAGATGGCTGTATACAGAACAGATCTCAAGAGTCAAAGGTACGGAAGGAAAGGAGATTAGGAAATCACAGGATCAGTTTGGAGGTGATGTTATCAGTAGAGGATAACTCTTTGATTGCCAAGGTATTGAGGCCTAAATACTATCCATTTATGGAAGATGGTTGTATACAGAGCAGATCTCAAGAGTCATAGGTATGGAAGGAGAGGAGATTAAGAAATTAGATTTTCATAACTGATAATCTTGGGAGGAGGTTATGGTCAAGATCACTTGTTTTGCTTCATAGCCACCTACAGTGGCCGATGCAGTTAAGGACTCCTGTGACAGTTTCTTCTGCAGGGGACCTGGTTTTAATTTTGCAGACAACAGTTTTGCATAGAGTGAAACTTTTTGTTTGGAAGCTGATTAGGAATGCCATTCCTACAAAACATGCTCTTAACATGCATCATTTGCCAGTCAAGGCAGCATCGTTTGTTGTTGTGTCATATATCTAGAGAGCCTCATGGTTTGGTTCTGAACTGGGGCTTAGAACAGATATAGTGTTCCAAATTTTGATCTTGAGGAATGGTTATTGAGAATTTTGATGACAGGAAGGGAACAAACAAAGGGTTCAAGTCTTTAATTTTCCGTACAGTATATGGTTACATAGAAATAGATGTTTGCATCATGGAGTGAAGGTTCACCTGGGGATACAACAACTATGCTTAATCTGCATTCTGAGTTAGTACTACTCTAATCCACCAATGATCCAAGATCACACACAGTAAGAGGAAAAACTACTCGCACAAAGTCCCATACTGCCATACAGTGTATTTAGTTCATTTCTCCACTAGATATGAATGGACAAAAGGGAAAAAATCAAACTGCTTCTCTTTAATTCTGATAAGTAAAAGGTAGAAGAAGTAGAATAGAAGAGAGAGATAAGGGAGAATTTGAGAAGAAGGAGAAGAGAGTTCAGAAAAGAAGGAAGAAACAGAGAGAAAATCCAGAGAGAGAATCAGGAGGTTTCTGAATGATGCACTTTATTATGATATCAGCCTAATTACAATTAGGAGAAACCTAGTATTTATAGGCTTTAGGTGCAGAATAGTCAAACAAAACAACAAATGACCTAACTGCCCTTTAATAACTACTACTACCTAGATAACACATGGTTTTTATTATTTTACATATCAACTTCTCACTCATATTATACCTAACAATGGATAAATTAGCTGGACAACAAAGTCCCGGATAAATTAGCTGGACAACAAAGTCCCAAATAATCCACGCATCAGTAACTAAATATAAAAACCTGATACTATAGAAAAGTCAAATAAAGCTACAGTAATCTATTATTGCATATCTGCATTCATCATTCTAGATATAGTTCTGGAATGAACTAAACTCTTATAGGTTATAGGTATATTCCCACCAAAAGTGCCTAAACAAGGTAAACATGAAATATAATAAGAAAAATTTTGGACCAAAGCTATTCAGTATGGATGTTTCCTATTGGTACAAGGCTTTCGGCATGGTTGAAAATACCATAACCAAGGGCAGATTTGCGGATATCATGCGTCTTAATTTCATTAGTTGTGAGATTGAACATCACAATTTTTCGTTCATCATTCTCTACTTCATCTTCAACTTGATCAATGGATCTAACATTGCAGACAATTTCATTCCTCCATATAGTTATTGGAATTAAAAACAAGTCTGGATAAGGATTGCTAGTGTATTTCTTTGTCCAACTCCATCTCTCCCTATTTGTGCCAGTCCCCTCCTCCATCACCCACAAATGAATCAAAGACGATCTGGAGTCTCCACTCAAAGTGTCAGAAAGCACAGCAAGTTTGTTCTCATATGCAGTAAGATATTTGGGAAATGATGTAGTTCTAACAGAAAAGGGTGAAGGAGGTGTTGGTATCAAGGTAAACAGTTCCATTGCTATGTCAAATGAGACTATAAAATTAATATCATCTTCATCCTCCTCCACACCAAGCTTTAGCCCAATCCAAAAGATAGCTCCATTAGTAGTGAAACCATCAGAATGAATAGCTACACCATCTAAGTTCCCAAATTCTACTTCCCTCCATGAACCTGTGCTTAATGAATACACTTCCACTTGATTAACCAGATAATCAATCTCAGAAACACGAACTTTCACTATCTTGTAATCATCAAGGGTTGGACTGAACCCAAATCCCACACAAAAATATTCATCCTCAGAATAATTAACAGCTCTAAGCACCGGTCTTGTCTCTCTTGTAGCTGGATTCCACACTAAAAGGGAAAGAGATCTAGGAAAAGTAGCCATGCCCACACAGAGCAAGCCATTGCAGGAATCAATGGTCCAAACACACCACCGCATGGAATTGGTAAAAGGATCATTCGGAACTTGAACGACTTTCATCTCACGATCGAGCAAGCATATTTGAAAAGGATCATATTTTCCAAAATCTTCTAAGAGAAGACAAAGGTTTTGAAGAGAGGAGTGCTGGAGGTGTTCAGCGATGAAAGATGAGGATTTGAAGAGATTTTTCCAAGGTTTGCAGACACATTGAAATCGGATTAGGGATTTTACTGGGAGGCGTACGAGAATGTTGGTGATGATATCTTGGGGAAGAACTGGGTCGTCGCCATTCGTTCCCACCTGGCTCATGGCGCTCGACTGGAAGAACGCTTCTCTCAGAGGAAAGCCTTTGGATTGATTCAAAAAAAGAAAAAGGAGAAAAGGCTTTGCCCACTGAAACTGAATATATTGTCAATTAAATAATTTTAGGGAAAATCACTGATGAGATGAGTCCCATAGAAGGATTATGATTACTCAAGAGCTGCACGAAATGGATAAATAATTTTTTTATTATTTCTTTTAATCAACATCTAATAAAAGAATTATTTCTTTTGATCAAATCCACTAAACTAAAATATTTGAAGTACTCATTTCTTTCGGATTCTATATATTATAATTATGTGTAAGTAATGAATAAGAGCTCTAAAATCTTTTTTATCGAAGTAGAATTGGAATCACCACTTAGATTTTTGAATACAAAGAGTATAGTTTTCACTTTTCATCCACGTTTGAGGTGAGTTTAATTAATATGATGCTTTGTATTTCTTAAATTAAGAACTATGGATAGTTGGATACAGGAGGAAGAATTTGAAGTCATCTGTTTATATTGCAGCCACCATCATACGATCATATGATTATTAGTATTTTCTGTATTTGAGGCATGGTATGTTGAGAATGTATTTGCCTTATTTATTTAATCTAAATGTATATTACAAGAATCAAACTTGAAATTTTGAAATAAACTAACTCATTCCATCAGTTGAACCAAGTATTTTTTGATAATGATTATTATTTTTAATGTCATATAGACTATATTTTATAAATGTGTCAATATGATGATTTTTATTTGTTTTATCTTTTTTAATATGTCATTTCTCATTTTTTTTATATGATCTTTTTCAATCTTTTGCTCCTCACCTTCCCTTTTTTGGCTCTCATATTTCTCTTTTGAAGTACTATTGCTAGCAGATGGTGGGCTTATTTCTTTACTAAACAATCAATTCCTTTGTTCATTATTATAGAAAGTGAATCGGGCTAAGCCAGGATGGATGATAGTGGGAGAGGAGGCATAGCCAAGCAACTCTCTCAAAAGGTGTCTGCTCGTGGAATTGAAAGAGATTGTTGCATTAACAAAGTATAGTAGTCAAAATATCTAAATAACGTCTTCCTGCATCTTGATGGGTCAGGTTTGATATTGATGGCTTTGTAAACATCAATGGAGTGATTGCTTATGGGAACATTATTACAGACGATAAATGTAATTGGATCAAGGATTTCACAAAGAACCTTGGCTACCATCCTATCAAAGTCGCTGAACTTATAGGAATTTTGAAGGGCTTCAATCTTTATTGAAAAGCTAAATTTTTTAAAATCAACATCTATACAGATTCCATAAAAGCTCTATCTCTCATTGAACATAATCAATCAGAAAGCCATCCCCTCTTAGAATACATGAAGAAGATTAGAGACCTGACTATGAAGGACTAAAAAATTACCTTCGACTATATTTATAGAGAAGTGAATGGATGCGTCGATTTGCTTGTTCATCAAACATCCTATGATAATTTTGATATTATGATCTTAAATAATCTGCTTCTTGATTGTATTAATCTTATGGTTCTAGATGTAACTTAACTTTAGTCTCTTTATATGGTTTTTCGTGGCCTTGTATTAAAAAAAAAATTATTTTGCTTCGTTTTTTGAATTTTATTGAAGTAGCACTAGGAATTGCACCAAAGCAAGCAAATACCACCAAAGAACCCCAAAGCTTCGACTATGACCGGATCGGTAAATCCTAGTCTTTTTAATAATCTTGCTTGCCTTCTGTGGTTAATATAATTGATCTTTTTATTAAAAAAAATGTGAAAAGGTCATTATCCTGACTTGTGAGAATTAAGAAATTTATCCTGAGATAAATTGGTGAAAACTTTGGTCGGAATGAATAAGTTAATGATGATGGTCAATCAGAATAATGTTTTAGTGTGGCATGATTTTTTTTAAGCCTATTATCAATGAACGTGCTTCGAGTGTTACAGCTTCTACTGTTTTGGAATTAAAGGAATCTGATGGAGGAATAACTAATCTAGGAAGCTGCAGGTTCAGAAGATTAAAGGGGATGATGGGTCCCTGAAGTTTATGTTTGCTTTGGTCTTTCATTTTTCTTTTTCTTTTTTCTTTTTTAATAAAAACATTGATATATTAAAATGTAAGAAAGAGTTGTGCAATAGGATTCGTCTAAGAAAAAAAAAATAGAATTAAGATATCTAAACTTGAAAATATGAAAAGAATTGCAGACAAACTTTGAAATTAAAAATCTAATATCATGACCAGGGGCTTCTATGAGAAAAGATTTTTGTTGAAGGCCGTTGTAAAGCTTATGATTGCTTATAAAAAAAAATTACTTTATAAAATTTAGATCAAGTAGCATCATAAATTTTAAACTCATTATTATACAAATTATTTCCTCAATTTTTAAAAATGGTGCAATCTAATTCTTTTCATTAACAAAAATTAACTTTGACCTTTGTTAAGCATAAAATGACATAAAAGAACATAAAAATTACAAAAATAAAAGATAAAAATTACAAAAAAAAACTCAAAAATTATATACAATGAAACATAATATAGTGTCATAAGGTAGAATTAAAAATGACATTAAAAAAAGAGCAACTCAAATCTAGTTTCACCCATTTTTCTTCCCTCTGGAATGATATAAAACCATTAGAGTATTACATTGACAACTAGTCCCATTTGTTTACTAGAATGAACTGAATGCAATGGATTAAAAAAATTAAGATAACAATAAGATGATCAAAAGGAATATGTAAGCACATTCTAACGGAAGAGGAGTAATTTAATTCATGAGATTGAGAATTATGATTCATAAAATTTTGGGAGGATGTGGTGATTTTCACAGTTATAATATATACTAATGACTTTTATTATACTTATCATTAAGAAAAAGATAATTTAATTCATTTTTATTTTAGTTTTTTTTAATCTATTACATTTAGTAAGGGGCCTAAATTATTATACACCCATATTTGAAAGAACACGGGAGAACATGATATTATGGATAAGTAAACCCAAAAAAAAAAAAAAATAGCTGCAAATATCTTGAATAACTACATTCGTCATTCTGCACAACATATCTAAAAGGCATCAAGGATTCCATCAAAAGTTCTTAGCAAAGCAAGTCTACAATGTAATAATTAAGACTTGGGATTTATCTTCTTCTTCTTCTTCTTCAGCTGCTACAAGGCTTTTCACATAATTGAAAAACTATGGCTGATATTGTGGACACTTCAGAACTCAGATTCACTAGTAGACATTGAACACACATATAAATGCTTTTGGTTTATAATTATCCTCTTCACTTTCAGTCATATCAGCTTTGCAAAGAATATTTGGACGTTCCAATCAAAGTGAGACAACCCATAGCTAGTCTGTTGTCATGCAGAGTAAAATAACTTTGAACACTTCCATTGCTATGTCAAAGGAAACTAAAAAACCAATCATCTCTCAGCCTCTTCCTCCACAACTAGCTTTCACTAGTGGAAAAATACTAATATAAAGCCCACTTTCTAAACCAATTACAGCATATATAATGTAAAAAATAGAGGCGGTAGTATTATCGTAATTATATGGCGTGTTTTAAAACTTTTTAAATTAGGCAAAATAAGAATTGGTTGAAATAATATTTTTTAAACTGGTTGATATTATAATCAGTTTGGAATATGTGACTATTTTTTTTTTAAAAAATAAATTTTTGTACTTTCTAAACCGATCAAATGTGGACCTGATGTAGAAATATTTATATTTTCTAAAAATTAATTTTAAAAATTATTTTCTAGACCGGTTTTGTATGAAACTGGTTTAGAAAATGATATAATAATTATTTTTAAATCTAAAAAATTACTTTTTAGACTGAATTTTAGTCTTAACCAGTTTAGAAAGTTTCATAAAAGCCTTATTCACTCTGTTTTCTCATCAATTCGTCTTCCTTCCCCCATTCAAAATTTTAGAACGTTGCACTTTTCGTAGATTTTGTCTTCCCTCCCCACGAAATTTTTGAACATTGCAGAACATTGACCCTATGCAAATAAAAAAATACAAAAAATAATTTGTTTTATTTTAAATTCTTTTATACATATAGAAATTAATTTAATTCAATTTATACTCACACATGAAAGTTTCTTATTTATTACTTATTTTTATCATAGGTCATACGCTTATTTTTTCATTACAGTCTCATGTTATACTTTATTTCCCTTTACTATATTAAAATTAAACAATTACCATGCAAAAATTTTAAAAAATATAAAAAAATTAAATAAAAGGACAAAAAAAGGTTGGATGTTTACTGTTGATCAACAGTAACCAATCAACAAGGATCACTTAATATTAAAGATTATAGATATAGATGTATCACTAATTAGACTGAGAGTCAAGTTTGTAATGAAGATAAGGAATTAACACTTGATGAAAGATAGGGTATTCAATATTGATATATATATATATATATATATATAATAATAATAATTGAATTAGAGGAGAGAAAGTGATTAGAAAAAATGTAGTCAGTGTTTAGATTGATCTACCAGTTTTCATATATATATATATATATATAGGGAATATACAAACAGAGCAATAAATACTTACACCTAACAACTATTCTGATTAACTCTAATAAATACAAAGAATAAATTCTAATTCTCAACACTGCCCCTCAAGCTAGTGTGTATAGATCATATGCACCAAGCTTGTTACAAATGTACTTTATTCGAGGTCCTCAAAAAGCTTTGGTTAATATGTTTGCTAGTTGATCATTGGAGCTAACATACTTCGTAGCAAGACATCTGGATTGAATCTTTTCTCGCACAAAATGAAAATCTATCTCAATGTGTTCAGTTCTATCATGAAACACTGGATTGGAGGCTATTTGCATTGTAGCCTGATTGTTGTTTTAACTAGATAAATTCATATGTAGTTAAGGCCATAGCACGATATTCAGCTTCAACACTAGACTTGGAGACAACATTTTGTTTCTTACAGTTATAAGAAATTAGATTTCCATCAATAAATACACAATACCCTGAAGTAGAGCATTGATCAATCATCTGGCCCGATATGCATCACTATACCCAACAATTTAAGTATCATCTTGGGAATCATTCTTATCACTATAACCATAGCTAATTATTTGAGAATTTCCCTTGTCTTCATATAAGAGTCCTTGACCTGGAAATCCTTTGATGTACCTGAGAATCCAAACTATAGCTTCCCAGTGGCTATCACATGGAGATTCCAAGAGCTAACTTACCACACTTACAGGGAAAAAGATATCAGGACAAGTGAGAGTAAGGTAATTGAGTTTTTCAACTAGTCTTTGATATCTTTCTGGATTTGCAAGAGGCTCCCCTTGTCCTGGTAGAAGTTTGACATTTAGATCTATAGGAGTATCAACCAGTCGACAATCCAAGTTCCTTGTCTCTTTCATAATATCAAGAGCATACTTTCATTGTGATATATCAACTCTAGCCAATGATTGAGCTACCTTAACGCTAAAAAAAAAAAAACCTGAGCTTACCCAAATCCTTTGTTGAAAGGATTTCATTAAGTGATTTTTGAGTTTAGAGATCGCATCCTAATCATTACCTATAATAACAATGTCATCCACATAAACAACTAGATAAATGCATTGCCTAAAGGGTAAGTGATGATAGAATACAAAGTGATCTCACTACAAATCATTCCATACTCTTGAAGAATGATGCTAAACCTATGTAACCAAGCTCGAGGAAATTGTTTTAGTCCATAAAAGGATTTATGTAGTCTACAAATCTTCCCAGGCTCGTCCTGAGCAACAAAACTAGGGGGTTGCTCCATATACACCTCTTCCTCTAAGTCACGATAGAGAAAAGCATTTTATATATCAAGTTGATAAAGAGTCCAATGAGTAATAGCTGCAATTTTGGCAACTAGCAAAAAACTATCATCATAATCGAGGCCGAAGATCTGGGTATAGCCTTTGGAAACTAATCGAACTTTCAACCGGTCAATAAAACCATCAGGAGCAATCTTGATAGTAAACACGCATCTGCAACCAACCAATGACTTTCCAAGAGGTAAGACGATTAGGTTTAAAGTATGATTAGTATAGAGAATAGCCATCTCATCAAGCATTTCCTGTCGCCACCTAAGATAGGCAAGTACCTCGCTGACATTCCTAAGAATGGTAACAGAATACAAAGAACACACAAAAGCAATATATGATAGAGATAATCGGTAATAACTCAAAAAATTATAAATAGGATAGGGATTACAGGTAGAACGAGTACCCTTACAAAGAGCAATAAGGGCATCATCATAAGGATGCTGGATCTAAGCAAGAGCCGGTGCTAGAGTAGGGGGCAAGTCCACAAGTATATCACTAGGGCTTGCTAAGGAGGAAGGACGAGAGAGATGATGGTATGTTTGAATAATGAGTAGTTTATCAATAATGGGCGAACCAAGGTAAGGAAGAGGAAGGACCTCAAATAGAGATTGTTCAAACTTGAAGGAGAGAAAATAAGGAGAGGTCTCTAAGAAAGTAACATCAGCTGAGGTAATGTGCTTGTTTGTAGTAGGAGAAAAATAATGATAACCTTTTTGAACTCAAGAGTACCCAAGAAAAACACATTTAATGGCTTTAGCGGTAAGTTTGTCTTTGCCAAGAGTCAAATTATGGACAAAGCAAGTGCACCCAAAAACACAAGGAGGAAGTGAATAAAGAGGTGTAGAAGGAAACAAAATAGAGTAAGGAAATTCATTGTGTAAAACAAAAGAAGGCATGCAATTAATCATGTAACAAGCAGTGAGAACTACATCGCCCTAAAAACAATGTGGCATTTTAGAGTGAAGAAGAAGAGTGCGAGCAGTTTCAATAAGATGCCGATTTTTTCTTTCAACCACACCATTTTGTTGAGGTGTGTATGCATATGAAGACTGATGCAAAATACCCTGAGAAGATAAACAATGGACAAATAGGGTAGAGAAGTATTCATTTGCATTATCACTTCATAGTATAGAAATTAAAGGACCAAACTGATTTTTAATTTCAATACAAAAATATTGAAACATAGAGAGTACTCTTGAACGATTCTTTAATAAATATAACCAAATGCAATAAGAAATGTCATCAATAAAAGTTACAAAGTATTAAAAATTGAGATTGCTTGTCACACGACTAGGACCCCAAACATTAGAGTGAACAAGTTTAAAAGGAGCATAAGCTCCTTTATTGATACGATTAGGAAGCAAAGACTGAGTTTGTTTTCTAAGTTGGCATGACTCAAAATCAAGAGATTGTAAAGTTGAAAGAGAGGGAGCCATCTTTTGAATTTTAGAAAGACTAGGGTGGCTAAGATGACTGTGAACAAGATTTGGTAGGATGACAATGCAAGGGGCTAGTGATATAGTGAATGGAAAATAGTAAAGTCCTTGGGACTCACTCCTAACACCAATCATCCAACCCGTACTTTGATCCTGCAAAATGACAAAGATATCACTAAAGATAATCAAACAAGAGAGAGCACGAGTAAGTTGACTAACAAAAGCAAGATTGTAAGGACATCTAAGAACATAAAAGACAGATTGTAAATTATTAAAAGGAGAAATGGAAGCTTAGCCGATTCCTTTAACTACAATAGAAGAACCACTAGCTGTAATAACGGTTGGAAGAGAGATTGAATTAGTAAAGTGAAATGAAAGATTTTTATTACCAGACATATGAGAAGAAGCACCTGAGTCAATAACCCATGGTCAAAGAGAAGAATGAGTAAGACAAGCAGCAAAATTGGTGCCTGGGCAATAGAGGCAACATGGATGATTGCTTGTTGGCCTAGAACTGGAGATACTCTTTATAATAAGCTCCTCTCAAGGTAATGGAATTAGATTGCTGTGCAATAAGAGTAGAGGATGCATGCGAGTGCAAGTCAGAACTCTAAACAACATTAGCAATCTGAGAAGGTTGCCAATAAAGACTGTAGCAACAGTCTCAAGTATGTCCCAACTTATTACAGTAAGTACATTAAGGGCATTTTCGAGGACCACTACATCCACCTCTACCACAAGTAGGTTTTAAGAAATCAACAGAAGCAGTAGTAATAGGTTTGGGAGCAGCCACAGTATTAAGAGAGCCTCAAATAAGATGAGTAAGGACATCATTTAGAGCAGGAAGTAATGATCCACCAAGAATTTAAACCCAAAGATGACTGAGAGCAGGACGAATATTGTATAAAGTAAGAACCATGAATAGTTTATCCTATTCTTTTTCCTGGACTTCAGAAGTAGTAGGCATTAGAGAGCGAAATTCCTAACGAAGAGACTTAATGCAACTGACATAAGAAATATCATCCATGTCCTCCTACTTTAAACTAACAAGAGAGGTAATCACATCGTAATAGTAACGAATATCATTGTTGTATAAAATGGCAACCTTACTCCAAACATCTAAGCAAGTCTCAAAAGACTAATATAAAGGAAGTAACTTGGGATCAATAAAATTCCATAACAAGGAACACAACTGAGCATCAATTTTAATCCATGTAGGTTGTTAAGCTTCAAGAATATCAGCTTCTTACTTGGTCAAGTGATCTAAATAGCCTTGTCCCTTAAACTAGAGATGAACTAAAGCAACCCAAGATTTGTAATTTAAAGCCTGTGTAACTTCTTAGTAGTAATAATAAGGGTACCACTAGAAAAAGAAAAAATGGCATTGGTCTTGGATTGAGGTAAACATCATAGAAGAATCAACCCTAAGATTAGAAGGAGAAGACCTTAGCAAGCATAATGGAGCAAAAGGCAGTGAGAATGGACATCAGATAGGCCTTCATGGGCCAAGAAGGTGAAGCTATACAGAGAAACGAAGGTGACGCATGGGAGCACGTGCGACAGTCGATGGCAACAAAACTCCAAGGACTAACCGATTGACGGCCTTTAGACACGGCGGTGGCGCGCGTGTAATGAACGAAGGTCATATAGCGATGGGTCAGTCACTAGAGACACACGGATGAACAATAACACATGGAAGAACAGAATTCAAAAAGAAAAAAGAGATAGGCTGAAATGAAGCACGACCTTAAGAATTCAGAACCACAACTCTAATACCATATTAAATTAAAGAAAAGAAAGTGATTAGAAAAAATGTACTCAATGTTTTTACTGATCTATCAATTTTCATATATATATATATATATATATAAAGGGAATATACAAGACAAAGCAATAAATACTTACACCTAACAACTACTCTAGTTAACTCTAATAAACACAAAAAATAAAACAAAGAATTCTCAACATATATATTTTGCAATCTACGGACATCAAATAGAGATTTGAGTGAAGAAATTTCACAGAGTGAAAAATTGGTTTTGGCATGCATGACATGATGAGAAAAAGAATAAGAAGTGAAAAATGAGATTGAATGAGGTGGTGGGAAAAAATCAACAGAAACTTAGTATGGTGAACCTCATAGAACTCTAAGCAAATACTCTTCTAGACCATAAATGGTCCAAAGAGCACAAACCATCTTCCAAGGTACAATATTACTCAGATATACCAGTGTATTTAATTCATTTCTCCATAAAAATGACATGAAAAAGCAAGCAAATAAAATTTGGTTTATCCATTTTCCTTCCCTCTCGTGTGATATAAAACCATTAGTATATTACATGAACAATTAGTCCCACATACTCCACACACCAGAGACTAAATTATTACATATCCATATTTGAAAGAAAGCAAAACAATATGATATTATAGATAAGTCCAAAAAAGCTACAAACATCTGGTAGTTAAATAACTACATTCATCATTCTGCAAAACACATCTAAAAAGGCATCAAGGATTCCACCAAAAGTGCTTAGGAAGGTTAATCTAAAATGTAACAATTAAGATTTAGGATCTAGGCTCTTTCTTCTTCTTCTTCCTCCTCCTTTAGGACTGGGGCCTAGGCTCTTCAATGTGGATGTTGCCAACCGGCACAAGGCTTTCCACATAATTGAAAATATTACGAAAACGACTGCCCCTGTGGATTGTCAAGAACTTAGATTCATTAGTACAGACATTGAACAGACATATAACAGCTTTTGGTTTATCATCCTCCCACTCATCTCTTTCAGTTACATCAACAGAGCAAATAATTTCATTCCCCCACATGGTCACTGGCATTAAAAAGTATGGATAGGATTTGCTCCTATATTTCTTGGTCCAATTCGACTTCTTCCCTGATGCACTGGTTACCTCCTCCATCACCCACAACTCAACTTGGAAGATTCTTCGATTCGCAGTGAGACAAACGATAGCTAGTTTGTTGTCATGCTCAGTGAGGTTGGCAGTCGAATTATAGCCTAAATCAGGCCATGGCATCACGGTGAACACTTCCGTTGCTATGTCAAAGGAAACTAAAAAACTATCAATATCCTCAGCATTTTCATCTATGCCATTTGCACCATGAAAAAACACAGCTCCATTAACAGTGACAACATTGATAAAGTCAGAATAAACTCGCACACCCTCTAAGTTCCTAAATTCTATTTCTTTCCATGACCCAGTGTTTAATGAATACACTTCCACTCGCTCAACAGCGTTTTCATACGCAGCATAAGTTCTGACTATCTTGTAATCATTAACAATAGGAGAGAATCCAAATCCTAAAGCGCAATCACCATCAGAACCATGCATAGCTACTGACAACGGTCTGACCTCTCTAGTCGATGGATTCCACAGTAAAAGGGAAGGAGAAGAAACACCATACCTATCGATTTCAACACAGACGAGGCCGTTGCTGGAACCGATAATCTTAGCACCCAGCAAGGAACCCATCAAAGGTGGGTTCGGAACTTCAAAGATTCGCATCTCGCGACTGAGCAACTAGAAACACAAAGGATCATTTCTATAATTCTGTTGCAAAAGAAGAGAAGGGATTTGATGACTGGAATGATGGAGCTGATCTGCGATGAAAGATGGGGTCTTGATGAGATTTTTCCACTCTTTGGAAACACATTGGAATCGAACTAGGGACTTCACAGGCAGTCGTTTGAGAATGTTTCGGACGATTTCTTGAGGAAGAAATGGTGTAGCACCGTCCATCACAATCTGCTCCAATGGTGCTTGACTGGTAAGAACGAATCGCTCAAGGGGAAGCCTTCGCCATTAGGGATTCCTGGAGTGGACAATGGAAGAAGCGAGCTATCTCGCATTTGTATTTTCATTTAAATACGAACTGTTAAATACGAAATCTTCCGTACATTTGATTGTATATTAAAAAAAAATCATTTAATTTTTATAATTTTAATTTAATTATAATTTAATTTTTAAATTTTAACTTATTATAATTTAGTTATTATAATTTTAACTTATTTATAACTTGATTTTTAACCCTTAATGTCCGCAAATTAATCTTTGAATTTTAATATTTTCAACTCAATCCTTATAATTTCAAACATTTAAATATTTAATTTTATGTTTTAAAAAATAAAATTATAAAAATTAAAGATATTTTAAAATTTTAATATTTATAAAATTTATAAAAATTAAAAAGGTTTATTAATATAAAATATTAATAATAAATTTTAATATAGTTTTAATTTTTATAATTTTATTTTATAAGATATAATAATTAATATTTAAATAATTAAAAATGCAAGAACTGACTTGCAGTTTATAAGAGTCAAAATTTAGAAACTAAATTATAAATAAGTCAAAATTTTTAAGATTGAATTATAATAAATTAAAGTTTAAGGATTAAATTATAATTGAGCCAAAACTGTAAGAATTAAATAATTAATTTTTATTTATATTTAAATACAAGAAAGACATTTACTCTCTCATGTCTTAATTTTACTCTTTCTCTATTCATGGAGAGTCTCATTGTGATGAGAATTCAGTGTTTTTGTCAACAATTGTAACAATTTGTTTGCATATAAGATTAATGAGTAAATAAAATCTTAAACTATTACTCAAATATAATCCTATATCTTGAACTCTTAAAATATAAAAAATAAATTTTTAATTTTTAAATTCATAATAAAATAAATTTTGATTAGTGCTACAGATTCTGAAAGGGAGGCAACTTTATGCCAAGTTGAGTAAATATGAGTTTTGGCTAAATAAAGTGAAGTTTTTAGGGCATGTTGTTTTTGAGGAAGGTATTGCAATTGATCCTCACAAGGTTGATGCGGTGTTGAAATGGGAACGACCGACCTCGGTATCAGAAATCAGAAGTTTCTTGGGGTTGGCCAGCTATTATAGGAGGTTTATTGAAGGGTTTTCTCAAATAGCATCGGCGTTGACTAAATTGACCAGGAAAGACAAACCTTTTTGTGGACCAAAGAGTGTGAAGAGGCTTTTATCACCTTGAGAAAGAAGTTGACGACTGCACCCGTCTTAACTATCCCTGATCCTAAGCAATCATTTGATGTTTATACAGATGCATCGCTTAAGGCTCTTGGATGTGTTCTTATGCAAGATGGCAAAGTTGTAGCCTACGCATCAAGACAATTAAGGCCTCACGAAATGAACTACCCCACTCACGATCTAGAGCTAGCAGCTATTGTCTTTGCTCTTAAGATCTGGAGACATTACCTCTATGGTGCACGATTTGAAATGTTTAGCGATCATAAAAGTCTTAAATATTTGGTAGACCAGAAGGAGCTGAATATGAGGCAAAGAAGATGGATGGAATTCTTAAAAGATTGAGTTTGAATTGAAGTACCATCCAGGGAAGGCCAATGTAATGGCTGATTCCTTGAGCAGAAAGACAGTGCATGTAGCTTGTATGATGATTCATGAACAGAAGTTATTAGAAGATTTCTCTAGTTTTCCACAAAATATCCCAGATTATGCTATGTTCAATTTGAACACTACGGTGCTTACAATCGAATTTTGGGATAAGTTGCGAACAACTCAGTTTGAAGATCCATACTTGTTAGAAGTTCGAAAGAACTTAGACGAGAAGATGACTGGCACAGATTTCACTTTTAATAATAATGGTCTTGTAGTCTATAATGGGAGGGTTTGTGTTCCTGATGTGAAAGAGTTGAAGGACACAATTCTTGCCGAAGCTCATAGAAGCAAATTCACCATCCACCCCGGAGCAACTAAGATGTATCAAGACATGAAGCGGTATTGGTGGTGGCATGGTCTGAAGCGTGATGTGACGGAGTATGTAAGCAAGTGTCTGACTTGTCAGAGGGTGAAAATAGAGCATCAGAGGCTTGGCAGTTTATTGCAACCATTGGAAATTCCAACCTAGAAGTGGAAAAGCATTTCCATAGACTTTATTATGGGTTTGCCTAGAACACAGGTAGGATACGATGCAATATGGGTCATTGTTGATAGATTGACGAAGTCAGCCCATTTTCTACCTATCAGAGAAGGTTATACCATGGATAAATTCACGGAACTGTATATCCAAGAGATTGTGCGATTACATGGAGTGCCTAAGGATATGGTTTCAGATCGTGATCCAAGGTTCACCTCGAACTTTTGGAAGGTGATGAATAATGCTATGGGTACTCAATTGAAGTTCAGTACAGCATATCATCCACAGACCGATGGTCAAACTGAAAGAACGAATCAAACACTTGAAGATATGTTGCGTACATGTGCACTTGAGTGGACAGGCAGTTGGGACAAGCATCTACCGTTAGCAGAATTTGCCTACAACAACAGTTATCATTCAAGTATTCATATGGCTCCATATGAGGCGTTATATGGTAGAAAGTGTAGATCTCCACTTTGTTGGACTGAGTTGAGTGAAAGAAGCATTATAGGTCCAGACATTGTTGACCAAACCACTCAAAAGATTAAGACAATCCGACAAAAATTGTTGACTGCTCATAGTCGGCAGAAGAGCTATGTAGATAAGCGGCATAGACCTTTGACTTTTGAGGCAGGCGACCATGTGTTTTTGAAAGTATTACCAATGACAGGCATTGAGAGGTCAATAAAAGCCAAGAAATTAACTCTTAGATTCATAGGTCCTTTTCAAATCCTACAAAAAATTGGGACTTTGGCCTATCAAATTGCCTTGCCACCTCATTTGTCAGGAGTTCATGATGTATTTCATGTCTCTCAATTAAAGAAATATCAACCCGATCCGTCTCATATAATAGAACCTAAAGAGGTTGAGCTAAGGGAGAACATGACCTATCGAGTGGAACCAGAAAGAATTGTAGATGTAAGGGAAAAGCAATTGAGAAATAAGACCATTCACCTCGTGAAGGTATTCTGGAAAGGAATGGCCCCTGGTAATGCAACCTGGGAAACTGAGGAGAAGATGAAACATTCCTATCCTCATTTGTTTGAGCAAGGTATGTTCCTTATGATTATTCGAATTTTAGGGACAAAATTCCTATTAGGAGGGGAGAGTTGTAACATCTCAAAAATTAACCTAAGGTTAATTAAGTTAATTTAGAGCAAATGAGAAATTTTAGAGGAATATTTAGATATAAATAATTTTAGTTAGAAAATTATTATTGGATTTAATTTAGATTAAAATCCTAAGTTATGATCTTATAGTAAATAGAAATAGTAATGATAATATTATTAAAAAAAAGAAGAAGGAAAAGGAACATAAAATAAATTAAAAATTTAAGAGGGCGAAGAGAAGTAATTTTTGCTTTGGGTGTTGAGGTGTAAATAATACAAAAAAAAAAAGAAAGAAAGAGAGGAAGAAGAGAGCTTTCGGCGTGCATGATGGATTAACAAAAGACAAAAGAAAAGGTGAGGAGTAAAAACACGTGGGTCCTACAGTTTTCTTTTGAAAAGCAACACATCTGATTCTTTTCTTCATTTCCTCCATTCTTTCTTCATTCCTTCTCGCGCAAACAGAGAGAGCGAAATCAAAGAGCGAGCGAGATAGCAAACGACGCTGCGGCTAGAAGAGCTGGTTTAGAAGGTGAAGCTCTATAATAGAATAATTCAGATGAGATTTTAAGTATTCTAAGACTAAGTAAGTGTTCTAAACATTTTTCTTAGTCATCTTTTCTCTTTGGTTTCTGATTTTGTAGTAGTAGAAAATTCAGGATTTGGAAGGGGGATGAATTTATGTTAAATAAATATGGTTTTGAGATTGTTAGTAATGTAATAAATATTCTAGAGTATTATTTTATTGATAGAATTGAAATTTGAGGCATTTGAGTTTATCCCTAGATTCCTATAGGTAGATTTTTGGTTAAATCTAAAAATATAAATTGATTTTTGATATTTAAATGATTATTTAAGATGAGAAATAAATTATTATGACTATAGAATAATGATTCTAGGCTTGAAATTAAGTTTACAATTTTTGAGTATTTTTATGTGTGAATTTTTGGAATAAAAAGAGAAATATTGATATTAGAAAATTATTTGAATGAAATTATTGTAAAAGAGACTATTGAACTAAGTAGATAGGTTCAAATACATGAAATTAAATTTTAGAATTCAAGAGACTAAGACTAAGTTCTTAAAAAAAATATAAAAATAAAATAAATATAAAATAAAATAAAATAAATACTTAGGTGTTAGAGTATAAGTGAAAATTGTGTTAATAATTATTATTGACAAATTGGGATATGATCAATTGTAGATTAATTTCCTTTTAACACCATTCAAGCTTTGGAAAGCTTTGGAAGTGCTGTAACTTAAGGGGTAACCTTTGACCTCTCAAAGGTTGAGGTAACCGGGAAAAATCTATTTTATACATTTGTATGTTAATTAATTAATTATGTTAGTGAAATAAAAGAATATATATATCTAAATTTGAAATAGTTGTTTGTAATGCATGTGACTTTGTTGAGACTTTATAACTTGTGAGTAATGAGATTGATGGTTGATGATTATGTGTACACTCTTGGTTATAAGTTGTGGAT